GTGATATTGATAGTAATTGTGATATTGATAAAACAGGGAGGAGGGGCTTTTCAGATATTAATTAAAATATCTCATAATTGACCAATAACCTAGCATAATTTTGGGAGTCTTCTTGAGTGATGGCTGCTATAGCAAGTAAAGCTTAGCTGCATCTCACAACTTTGAGACTGTTGTATGATAACTGGTTGTCAGAGAGAGATGTCAGTAGGACTACTCACATCCATAAAGTTAAGCATGTGCGTGAGTCTTTGGAGGATTGAACCCTAACCTATTTAATAGCAGAGACCCCATTCAGGGGTACTTGTACTTGCTAAAAGCAAGCTGTTGTCATAGCTAAGACTCAGACTGCTGCTCTTGTAGATAGGGTTGCCAACTCTCCAGGTTTCACTGGCAGTCTCCCAGAATGGGGCTCTATCGGCTGGAGGCTACTGAAGCCAAAGAGGGAGATTTTAGGCACTAAAAGTCCGGCAGCGCAACAGGGCTAAGGCAGGCTCCCTGCCTGTCCAGGCCCCACGCTGCTCCCAGAAGCGACTTGCACGTAATTGAGGCCAATGGGAGAGGCAGGGGTGGTGCCTGCAGGCAGGGGCAGCGCGCGGAGTCCCCTGTCCCGCCGCAGGGACATGCTGGCCACTTCCAGGAGCAGCGCACAGAGGGGGCAGTGCGCAGAGCACCCTGGCCCCTCTTACCTCAGGTGACTCCTGGTCAGTGGCGCAGCGAGGCTAAGGGAAGCTCTGCCCCCTCATCTCCCATTGGCCACAGTTCCCAGCCAATGGGAACTGTGGAATCGGCACTCGGGGCACAGGCAGCACACTGAGACCTCTGGCCCCCTTCCAGGGGCTGCAGGGATGTGCTGGCCGCTTCCGGGAGCAGCAAGGAGCCTGCTTTAGCCCCGCTGTGCCACCTGAGGTAAGCGCCACCGAGCCAGAGCCCGTACCCTTTACCCTCTCCCAGCCCTGAGCCCCCTCCTGCATCCAAACTTGTAGGAATGTGTTGTTCCCGAATCGTATGCCCACGAGAACGGCAAACTGTTCCCTTGGCAATGAGGCAGGAGTGACCTTGTCCTAGCGTATATGTTTGGAAAACTTATTGGCAACCTGACATCACCCTTGCAGCTGGTGTTCACGCGCTCAAGAGATGGGTTTGTAATCTCATGTGCATGTATACTGCCTGCCTTCTGTTTGCGCAAGAATGTAACCACTAAGAACTGTTGTAAACAAAGTAAGGAGAAGAATAAAAACCCCAGGAAAAGTTTTCCTGGGAGGTTTTTTGCAGGAGGCTTGTAAAGCTCTAGCTACCAGAAACCTGGTGTTCTATTTCCTTTCCTGTGTCGTCACCACACAAACTCCCTCCCAGAGCCTGTACCCCTCCTGCACCCCAATCCCCTGCCACAGCCCTGAGGCCTGGCCCAGAGCCTACACCCCACACACCTTCCCACACCCAACCTCCCCCGAGTCCCCTCCAGCACCCAAACTCTCTCCCAGAGCTTGCACCCCGCACTCCCTCCTGCGCCCCAACTTCCTGCCCCAAGCTCAGCCCAGAGCCCCCTCCCACACTCCAAACCCTTCAGCCCCAGCCCATAGCCTGCACCCCAACCCCAGCCCGGTGAGAATGAGGGAGGGTGGGGGAGAGCCAGCAATGGAGAGAGGGGGGATGGAGTGGGCAGGACGTCGGGAAGGGGCAGGGCAAGGGTGTTTGGGTTTGTGTGATTAGACAGTTGGCAACCCTAGGGCCTCCTGCTCCTAACCTTCCTTCCTTCACACCAGGCTTCTATCCACTCACCTTCCTGCACCTGTCTCATTGCCTCTCCCTACCCCTGTTCCTTACCCCATTGCATTGTTTAAGTTAGGCAGCTTCCTCTTTCTCCTCCATGCTTGCTGTGTGCCAGATGGAGGAACACAGAGCACAGGAGAGACAGTCTTCTTGCTCTCAATTCTGGTGCCCAGCAGGACAGCCACCTCCAGCAATCTAGAGAAGCACTTGCAGGGGCAATCCTGGTAAGCCGGTTCAGTTGCTCTTTGCATGTATCCTCTTCACAATCTGGGTTGCTGTGAGGGATAATGCAGTGCATATGGAATCTTTGGATAATTTAGGTAGCAAATTCTAACAAGCCTCTATTGAACTGTAACTTCTCAGAGACTTATGATCTGGGCAATTTTTCACCATGTTAACAAAAGACACCCCTGACACCACAGCGACTCTTCTACCACATTTCAAGCCCTTGCTCCAAAGCATCGAGACACTAGAACTTCCCAATGAACACCTAGCATGGAAAATTTCAGCCTGCTCAGTTTAAGGTTAGCAAAGTTATAGGCAACTGAAAATGGAGTCTTTATAATGGCAAGTATAACAGTCAGCCACCACCTGAGCACCCACAAACAGAGTAGCCCATGGTACCCTTGCCACGGTTTCCCTTCACTCAGGACTTCTCAATAAGCCTACAAAGGAGTATGGTATGTGTCCATGTAAGCTTACAATTCACTGGCCAGCACCCTCCCGGTAGCAGTCATTCCGGCCTGTGGTGGTCTGCTTCTCCTTTTGACTTGACCCTCCGGCTAAGTCAAAGACCCACCCCTTCCAGGGTAAACCAGTAATCCAACAACAAATAGTTCAAGTTCATGTTGAACACTCAGTGTGAGTCTGGACTCACTAGTCCTTACCACAAGTATAGCGGTAGGGGGGTTACAGTAGTCCTTACACCTTGTCAGGGGAAGGGAACCCAGGCCCTCCCTTCTTCCCTGGATTCCAGTCCAGGGACCCTTGAATGGGCAGTCAAGCCATGACTACAGAGACCCCCTTGCTACTTCCCTGGACCACTTCCTACCTTACCCTGTCTTGGGCCTTTGCCTCAGCCTGTTCAGTGCATCAGCTCAATGCTCTCTTTGAGCCTTGTCCAAGAGCTTCTTACCACTTTCTGCCACCCAGCTGATCCTGCTGCAGGAGTTTTCCTTCACCTCCCAGGGCAGTCCCTCACTCATCAGGAGTCTTCCTGCTCTCTGTAAGCTCTTCCACCAGGGTACAAAATCTTAGGCAGACTCACTTCCTTTCCCAACTGCTTTGGGCTCCTAGCTACCCCACTGAGCTTCCTGACTCCAGCCAGGCTTCTTACTGCCTGAGCTCAATAGGTGGGCTTTCCTTCTTAGTCAGGCCCTAATTGAACCAGGTTCAGCCCTTTTAACTCCTCCCTCCAGGTTTGATACAGCAAGTGTAGTAGGGCAAGGCTGATTGCCCCCATAGGCAATCATTAACCCTTTAAGTCCAGTGTAGGACTGGTACACCCGATCACAGTCCAGTAACATTCCTTCTTAGGGTCTGGTTTATTAACGAAGAATAAAGTCTCTTCTGCCCCTATCACAGGCTGGGCACAGCTTGTTAGACTTTCCCAGGTTCTGCTAAGTCTCTCCCCATAGTCCAACCTGGCTGGGGATATGGGCTCTGGTGTGGGGTGCAGGGTTTTGGGGTGCAGGAGAGAGCTCAGGGCTGGGGCATGGGTTTGGGGTGTGGGAGGGGGTTTGAGCTCTGGGAGTGAGTTTGGGGTGGGAGGGGGCTCAGGGCTGCGTCAGGGCATTGGACTGCAGGAGAGGGTGATGGGTGCGGGCTCTAGGAAGGAGCTTGAGTGCAAGAGGGGGTTCATGGGATTGGGGAGCGTGGTGCAGGCTCTGGGAGGGAGTTTGGGTGTGGGAGGGGGTTCTGATCTGGAGCATGGGCTTGGAATGCAGGAGAGGGTGAGGGGTGCGGGCATTGGGAGTGAGTTAGGGTGCAGGAAGGGGTTTCGGCTGCGGCTGGGCAGCACTTATCTCAGGCAGCTGCCAGAAGCAGCTGGCATGTCTCTGCGGCCCCTAGGTACAGGGTCTTTGAGCGCTGCCTGCAGACACTGCCCCTGCAGCTCCCATTGGCTGTGGCTCCTGGACAATGGGAGCTGTGGAGCCAGCGCCGCTGCTCAGGGTTGCTGCCCCTGCACCTAGGAGCCGGACATGCTGGCTGCCACACAGAGCCAGGGCAGGCTGGGAGACTGGGCAGGCAGGGGTCTTCCTTAGCCCCACTGGCTGGACTTTTAGCGGCCCAGTTAGCAGTGCTGACCAGAGCCGTCAAGAGTCCCTTTTCGACCACGTGTTCTGGTTGAAAACCGGATACCTGGAAAACCTAGTTGCCCAGCAGCCTTAGTATAAGCTGGCACCAGGTCTGTCTGCACGTCACAGCCTCCTCTTCCCTAACTTCATCCTCTTACACCCACTTGTACCACACTTTGCACCGTGTGCACAACCAGCCTTTGTTGTGGTGCCTGTTGGAGCTGGGGAGGGTACAAAGGTCTGGGCCCTGCTCTGCGAATATGCCCCCACAGGGGTGGTTGGGGCATGACGCGGCTCCGCTAGGGAGGGGTCTGAGCAGGCTGAGGGGAAGAGACCCGACATGCCCGCTGCGGGGCGGGGGGTACCGACCCGGCAGCACGCAGACCCCACCGCCAAGGCTGCGGGCGGGACACCAGGAACCTGGTGGTACGTGGCCAGGCTCTCCCCGCCCCAGGTCACGCGCAGCAGGCAGCTCCGCCCGACCCCACCCGCCGCAGGCGAACGTGGCAGCAGGAGGTGGCGACTCGTGCCCAGGCGCGGCCATTTTGGATGCGGGAAGCGAGCGGCGGCACGGGGCAGGCAGGCAGCGCCAGGGAAGTGGCGCCCGAGGCCCGGCCACGGAGGAACCCGCAGCGAGGTGAGGACGGGTGGGAGAAGCCGCCGCCAGGCCGGACAGCGCGCGCGGGAGCGGCCCGGCCCCGAGGAGTGTGAGCAGAGCCGCCGGCGGGAGAGCGAGACGTGGCAACCCAGACCGGCGGCATTGCGCATGTGCGGTGCCGCCCCAAGTCTCATGGGAGTTGTAGGCCCTGCACTGAGTCTGCGCCCCATTCCTCGCGCTCTGACCCCTGCTCTGGGAGGCTGCCTGCGCGGGGGCTGGGGGCGGTGCTTCTTCTCCGGCGGCCGCGTCAGAGCCGGCTGCGGGGTCACGCAGCGCCGCGGGCCCGTTGCTACCGTTACGGGGGGCTTGTTTTACGGGGTCCTTCCCGCCGCAGGGCGGAGCTGCGCTGTAGGCAGCGCTAGGGCGTCTGGCAGCGGGGGCGCAGCCTGGGATCGGGGGGCGCTTCTGCGAAATGAACCGAAGTGAAACAGCAGCCTCGATTGTTTGACTAGTGTGTGCAAGGCCCCGAGAGATCGCCACGCCTCTGGGAGCTGTGGTGGCCGGCTCAGGAAGGCCTCCCTAGGTGGGTTTGCACTCGGGTTACCTTGGCAGGAGTTGTTTCTTTCCTGGGGGGGGGAGAATAACTTCGAAAAACAAACCAATGCAAGCTTGGAGTCTGAAGGGGGCTTTTCTAGCAGGGCGTGAAATTCACTGCAAATGTTGCAGATGGACGTTTGCAGCCTTGTTTTTACTGCCTGTGTAACCTGCTGTCACAGAGAATAACCTAGTATCCTAAATCCCAAAGTTGGGTGGCTTTTTTTAAATTTAAAAATTGAGGGATTTTTATGAAAATTGGCCCTGTAGTTCATTAATCATTGGTGCTATAGTGTCTCTGATCTAGATTGTAAACTCATTGGGACAGAGGCCAGCTCTTCGGTCTGATATTTCCTGTCTGTCCCTCTGGTATGTGAAGTCTTGTTGCTATAGTGATGATTAAATGTTAAATACTCATAGCAAATGTTTAGAAAACAGCTGGGCCTTGCGGCAGTCTGATCAATATCATCCATACTAGAAAAGTGAGAAAAGGACTGGTATAGAAAAACTCAAGAAGTTCTGATTTTGGTTTAACTCTTCCTCGGGCTTTGAACATGTCAGTGAGCATCCTTTCTTGCTGTTGACTGCATGTGCATAGTCTTTCCTGTGCCCAAGTGGCACTTCATTTACATCAGCAAGGCTCTGTCACCTGAGGGGCCTGCCCATGTGCATTACAAAATGTGTGGGATCCTCTTCTGTTAAATGGAACTAACATCATTTACTTAGCTTCTTCAGAAGGCTGGTCAAGATTAATTACTCAATTATAATACCTGACCTTTTGTTGAAGAAGCCACCCCATTGATTGGCAGATGGGTATCACAGCATGTTCTTATAGTTGCTGTTATCTTTTTTGTGTTGCCCAAGAATGAGCTGAGTGCCACAAAAGAAAAAGATAGGGTGACAGAGCTTGAGTCTTTACCCCAGTACCTGTGAGCTGTTTCTGTTCTGTGGCCTTTAATGAGGTTGGCTGTCTGAGGTAAATAGGATGGATTTTATTGAGTCAGCTCCCCGCTTTATACGCAGATGAAACAATATGTTTACAGTATGTATAGGGTGGTATGAATCTGATGTCCTTCAGCTTTCCCTAGCCACGCTGATCCTTTCCTCTACCCACACACTCCCACCCCCAAACTAACCTGGTGCCCATCTTGCCTGGGAAATAATGGTTTAATATCTATAAAAGACTTAGGCTATGTCTGCACTACCACTTATGAATAAAGCCAACCCCGAGAGACATAAGTTATACTGACCTAAGCACTGGAGTGGACAGCACTATGCTGACGGGAGAGCTTCTCCCATTGATATAGCGCAACTGCTGTAAGCGCTCTAGTCCAGCCATAGCCTTAGAAGGTGAAAAGGGCTATAGTTCATAAATGAGTATTATTTATATCTGTGCCTATATATCCCTTAATTAGAATGTGTGTATTCAGGATGGCTGCTCATTTGGGGATGCCTCCTAGCAGTTAATTGGCCATGCATGAGGACAACTGCTGCTTAATCAGGAGAGTATTAACAAAAATTCTACTTAATGAGCCTAACCAGTGCTTTAGGTGTTAACCCAATATTACCTTTTCACACCTAGTTATAGAAACATTGCCTGTTACATATTTAAAAAAGTATTAAATAACATTTGAGTCTGGTATTTTAATTGATTACTGAGCTTATTCACTTCTCAGGTTAACCTGAGCCTCGCAAGATAATTCTACTGTGCTTTATCTGTTAACATGGATGTCTACTCAACTGTGCAAATCTGCTTGTTAAGGGTTAACTGTTAAACAGCACCACTGCAAACTGTGATTCAGTTCTAGAAATTGACTTTATCCTTGTCAATTTTGGGTAGTCTTCATTTGTAAGTAGTTCATCCTTAACTATCAATTCCCATATTTTTGGGACATAACCTGAAAATGATTTTAAATTAAGATTATAGTCAGAAAAACAAATATATACATTATTTGGTTTCACATTTTTCAGTTACTTCACATAGCTTTTGATTTTTAAAAGTAAACTTTTTCTGATTGCCAACTCAGCAAGCTCAACCTTTGATCTCTAAAATGAAACTTTTTTTTCTGCTTCTAACATAATCACCACTTAAAAAAAAAAAAAGTTGTGCAGTCAGAATTTATGATCTGATTTTTCTTAAGTGCTGAATATCCACACATCCTGCTGAAGCAAATGAGAGTTGTGGGTGCTTTACACCTTGGAAAATCAAGCTGTTAACTAACAATTTGGGGGAAAAGGCTAACAACTGACTAGAATTCAGCTCCCTCTTCCTTGGCTGTATTGGCTCTGCACTCGGAATAAAGTAAATACAGGTCTGTCGCATCTTACGCACATTTAACATGCGCGATTTCAACTTTACGCTGTCGGCAAAAACAAAAAAAGAGAAAAACAACAATTTTAATACTATACCTGTAGTGCGGGCGATTTCGCCCGCCATTGAATTCAATGGGGTTTTGGTTATACGCGGTTTTCGCTTTACGCGCTAACCGCGGAACGGAACCCCTGCGTAAGATGAGACAGACCTGTAGTTATACCTCAAAGAGGCACAGACCTTGTCTGTACTAAGTATTCTTCTTGTTAAAAGCTCCCATGATTGCTCTAGTACTGGTGCAGCTCTAACATTGCTGGACACAGTGGTAGCATTAGTATAGACCAGTTTTTTTTCTCACCCCCACCCCCTTGTCATTTAGTAACCTAACCCTGCTGAGTTTTATATTAGACCCTTCTGAAAACTTGATCTATATTAATGGAACTTTTTAGTGGCAAATTTTAAAAAAAATAATCTTTGTGTAAACAAAGCCACAGGGCAAGGAGCTGTTAGGAATGTGCTACTTTTATGATATTAATTTAGTTTAATAAACACACTTTAATGTAATCGTACAGAATTCACTCAAGTTTGGGTTTTTTCCAATTTTGGTGACATGACCAGACTCATGAAATGAACTTTTAGTCACAAACCACTAGATGGCAGGAGCACAATTTCTTTTGGGCTAATTACACATTTGCTTGACTCTGCTTGTAATTCTTTGTCTCCCAGATTTTATGTTTTTGGACTGGTTTGTGGGGCTTGTATTAGGTCAACTTTGACATAGGAAGTATCGGTTTTGTGGGTTATGTTCAGAAATTTTTTTTTAATCATCTGAGAAAAGGCAGCAGTAGGTGTGTGGAGGAAGTGACTAGAGGCATTTCTACACTGCAAATACCCCCCCCCCTGAGAATTATGGATTTGTGGATTGGAGCAGCGAGGAGAAAGAGGTTTTTCTGTAGCTAAATAACTTTAATATGAGGTTGGGAGTAATAGTAAAGACAAAGGCCACTGCCAAAGCTGGTAGAGACTAAGGATTTGGGGCCTGATCCTGATAGGCACTTTACCTCTGCATTTTTCTTCAGGACATTTTTCAGCAGCTTAGTTGTGTGGTGACTAGTCTTCAAACCTCATTTGCCCTCTTTTGGTTTCTCTTACTATTCCATACCTGCTCTCTTTTAATTCTCTAGAATTATATCTAAGGGCCTCATTCTCCACTGTCTTGCTCCTTTCATAATCGCTTACACCTGTGCAAACTGAGAGTGGATACTTTTAATTTGGAAGCATGTTATACTTGCAGTGTTGCCAATTCTTGTGGGGTTTCTTTACCATGAGCTTTGTGATATTTGGGTGCTTTTCAGTTTCCTATGATCTCACAGTTCCTGGCTTAAAAACTCATGACATTTGCCCTTATTCACAATGGCTTGATGGGTGGTATGTGTGTGTAGGAGGCAGACTGAGGGAGGTGAGGGAATAGAGGTTGGCAGAGGAAAAACGTGAGGGGTAGGATACTGTAAAGGAATAAGAGGCGAAAAAGTGGAGGTAGGTGAACTTAAGGTTTGGAGACTGTAGGTGAGCATGGAAGGGTGAGGGGAAGATTGCGTGGCTTAGGAGGCAAGCAAGATGGAGTGGGGAAGGATACAGGCTACTGATAGTGGAGGTTGGGAGATGGAGAAGGGGTTAAGAAGGGGTAAGGAGACGTTCCTCTCTGAACTGCCAGTGGTGAAGCATATATATATATATATAAACTTGAAATGCTCTTACACACTTTGGGGCAGGCAGCTTCCCCTCAATGACTCAAGAACTAGAAGGCAAACTTAAAATCACAAAATATATTTTTTAGTCATGATTTTTAGGGGCATACCTATGATATGTGAACACTTAGGGTAGGCAGTGCTGTTGCCCACTTAGCACTCATTCCACATAAATGTAAATAACTATATAGAATGCATGGTAGTGGAGAATCAAGATGATAGATTTCTATTTAAGTATCCTGTTTACACCTTATTTTCTAGATTAGATTCCTTAGCTCTTGAGCTTATAATCACTCTGGAAAATATATGTAGTAAACCACTGAGAAAGTTCCACGTGGAACCTGTTCAGTCATTCCACGTGGACACTGTGTGTGTGTGTGTGTGTGTCTGTGTGTGTGTGTAAATATATTTAGGGGGAAAAAACACCCTATCAACAGCATTTACTCACAGCATTATCTGAAATACTTCTGTTTAATGAATGTGTTATGGAGAGGAGTCCGGTGGCACCTTAAAGACTAACAGATTTATTTGGGCATAAACTTTCGAGGGTAAAAAACCTGCTTCTTCAGATGCATTTGTGTTATGGAGAGTTGCTCAAATAGCTTGTGTTTTAGTCTTTTTGACCAATGACTTCTTTACTAGTCTTACTCCTGGGGGGAATTCTGTGCCACTACACAATGCAGAATTTGCACAGAATTAATGTTCTGGGCAGAATTTCATTTTTTCCTGCAGAATTGGTGCTGCTGGCTGCCCCAGCAGAGCCTAACTTGCAGTGAACCTGCACGGGTGGACTACAGTTCCCAGGTTTGCTGGCCCCACTTGGTCACCTGGTGTGGCTGAGTCCCCTCCCTGTGCAGCAGTTGCCAGAGGTGGCAAACTGCACTCCTCAGGGAGAGGCAGGAGCAACAGCTGAGAGTTGCAGGGAGGGGCCACTGCTTTCCAGGAGGGGAGACTGAGAGTAAAAGGGGAGGGTCTTGCAGGGGGACTAGGTGACTAGGGTTACTAGGTCCAGGTTTTCCCAGACATTGCCTCTTTTTTGATCAGGGTGGATTTGATTTAAATCATTAATCAGGAAGACTCGATTTAATAATGGTTTTCTATATAAAAGTGCATTCTTGTTGGTTGTTATAACCTTAATACATATTCTCCACAACTCAGAGATAGATGTAGATTTCATTTTTAGAAGGTACACACTATACATTTTTAAACAGTGATTTATTTGTAAACTTTTCAGATTAGTTTTACAGCTATATCAGAAAACGAATGATTGTTTGGTTATTTCATTTACCAAAGGTAATTGAAGCAGATAGTTTACCTCCCAATAACTTCATAAATATCTTGAATTCAACAAGTTAATCATTGATATTTGGAGGATATTCTTGCCAGGCTGCATTAGGAGGAGAACATCACCAGACATTTAAATTGTTTTATTTAACTAAAACAACAATGTTAAATATTCTGGATTTCTTTCTTCAGCAGCAAACATATAGTATTTTAACAAAACAAGCATATATCCCTCGCTTCTCACATTTATCTCCAGACTTCTTTTCCTTGTCCAGATCTATTACGCCAGTGGTTCTCAAACTGGGGCCGCCGCTTGTGTAGGGAAAGCCCCTGGCGGGCTGGGCCTGTTTGTTTACCTGCCGGGTCCGCAGGTTCGGCCGATCGCGGCTCCCACTGGCTGCGGTTCGCCGCTCCAGGCCAATGGGAGCTGCGGGAAGCGGCGGCCAGCAAATCCCTTGTCCCGTGCCGCTTTCCACAGCCCCCATTGGCCTGGAGCAGCAAACCGCGGCCAGTGGGAGCCGCGATCGGCCGAACCTGCGGACCCGGCAGGTAAACAAACCGGCCCGGCCCGCCATGGGCTTTCCCTACACAAGCGGTGGCCCCAGTTTGAGAACCCTGTATTACGCCCCCAACAATCTTCTATTCATTGAACTTTTTGAAACTTTGCACTTTTAGAGAGAGGTAAGGGATTGACTCTGTGTACGCAATTTTGCAGAGGGACAATACGGTTGAGGTCTGTTATTTCTCATCTCTATATATTATTTATTTATTTAAAACATTTTTGCTGTTAACAAGCGTGTTACCTCTGGAGACACAAATCCACAGTTTGAGAACTGCACAACTAAGCATCTCTGATGGTGTCTGCTAGGCTGAGCCCCATTGAGTAGATAGAAAGATTAACCTAAATAATCTATACAGAAGCCTGTAGAACCCCATAAGATTGGGTCCCTAATCCATGAACTATTGGAACTCATTTACAAAACTTTTCTTCAGCATTACATGAATATATTGTTTCATACTATAGAATTAGAATTTATAATCCCTATTCCATGATGAGATATTTTTGAGCTATAATGTATCTTAATTAAAACTATCTTTAGATTGCTTTTTTCCTCAAAAAGCATTTTATCAAAGAAATCCGATTTAAATTTAAAAAAAAAAAATCTGATTTATTTATTTATTTATTTTTAAAATCGTTGATTTTTATCCCCTTTGTTTTTGATCCTCCACCCTCTGTCCAGGCAGATTTTTCTAATAAGAGACAATGTCCGGGTTTCTTGCAGAGCAGATGTTGCAGCTCAGAAAGAGCCCTGATTGGTCTGCTTTGCGATTGGTCCCTCCCCTGCATCCACATTTGATTGGTCCCTTGCAGCTGCTGGATCCTGCCCACCCAGGCCCTGGCTCCCAGCCCTGGGCAGGGGGAGAGCCCTGCAGGGAGGCACTGACTGACTTGCTCTATGTTCTGGGTCTGCGCCAGCCTCCCTGCCACTGTGACAGGGGGTGACACTGCCCCTCCATCTCAAGATTGAGGCCCCACGTACTCACTCCAGCACCCGCCAAATCCCCCCTCCCAGTACAAACACCCCTCCAGCACCCCGCAACTGTACCCCCCCTCCAACTCTCCCCTCACCCATAGTGAAAGGCAGTGTCCTTTATTTGGAAACTGGAAATATGGTAACTCTTCAGGGGGTAGGGTAAAAACATGAGAATAGACTAAAAGACTGGAAGGGTAGAGTTTTCAAAAATAATTGAAACTGGTATGATATTGTGTTGTTTTGACAAATAACGTACGCAGAATTTTAAAATGTGCTCAGAATCTTTCATTTTTTTTTTTGGTGCAGAATTCCCTTAGGAGTAAACTTGTCTGCTAGGACCTGAACTGAGAATTTCTTGTTTGCTCAAGAATAACTAATGTCTTCACAGCCGTAAAAACAATATTGGATTTTTGGCAGGTAATTGAAGGAGGAAGAGCTTTAGGAATGTTTTTATTGTGAAATATAAACTTGTGCTGTTAGCTTTTTAAAAATATGCTATTAAAAACAAATCCTTCAGCCCAGGTAAGTTTAATGGAAGGCCCTACCCAATGCTGTTCCACTGCAGGGGACTGGGGTGGATGCAGAGATTCTGCGGACAGGATCCATACTCCTACAAGCTGCAGAATGCTGCTTCAGAAGTCCTTCATCTGTTCTTGAATGGAGAGAGGTTTTGAGCTGGGGAGGAAAGGGGCTGGCTTGTAGGCCTGAGATCTAATGGCATATGGGGAATTCCCCCCATGTTGTGGGACCTCAGCCATGAAGAGTACTGCATAGTGGACATGGAATGGATCTGTTGCCTTTCTGTAACTTGGCTCAAGTATTCCATCTCCCTCCTTGTCACCTGAACCTTTTGTGCAAAGCCTTCTGTTTGTGTTTTCCAGGGGCGACAGAACTGTTCCTTGTATAATTTAAACTTTCATTTATTCTCAGGAGCTTTACAGTTCACCTGTGAGCATATGTCAGAATTGACTGTTGCTATACCTTCTCTTATCTGTATGTCTGTTCGTGTGTGTATATGAAGGTATATATTTTACCTTCCTCAAGAATAACAAGGTAACAAGAATGTGAACATTTTTAGTGTTAAATCAGTAGCTGACTATTTAGGCTTTTTTACATGGAATATGACTTTTTACTAGAAGGAAAAAAACCCTGTAATTTTCTAAGTGGAAGTCTCTATATGTGTATTGTATTGCATTTTTAGCACATTTTCTAAGACTTTCCCAGTGTGCCTTGTTAAAGGAATATGCTGGCAGAGCTTGATAGTTCCTGACGTAATGGATATTATGGACAATTCTTATCAAGACTCAGTCTATTTGTTATACATATAATGAGTTCACATGGGATTTGTATTTCATTATAGCTACCTTAGGAAACATTCTTCCAAGAAGCAAATAACTACCGGTACCTGGTTTACCAGACTTGAGAGACAAGACATTATTATTATTATTATTATTATTTTTTTAATTACCTTTGTACTGTAGAATACAAATCAGAAATGGGAGAAAAGGAAAGTTGAGAATTCATTTGCATGTTTTTCTCCCATCTCTCTCTCCTGCTTCCCACACATTTTGTGCTACCTTTTTAATAATAAGGTATTTTTAAGCAAGGGTCTGGTTTCATGTTTCTTGCAGTAAAATGGATTTTCCAGTGTTTTAGCAAGATGAAAGACACTCTTATCCTCTACTGATCCTGGTGGTGAAAGAAAACCAGTTTGTCATTCAGTATTAATCTTTGATGCTCTCATTAGGTTAGTGAGGAAGAGATAGTGTGGTCTCATAGGGCTTGTCTGTTTTGGTAAACATCAACTGCTGTAGCTAAATCATTATAAAAATCCATCTGGTTACACCGGGGGTAACCCCCTAGTGTAGACACACTGAATCTGCTTTAAATTGTGCTTAAGCTTAATGCAGTAAGTCACTTTAAGTGCAATTTAAAACTGTTTTCCATTGTGTCAGCATTAGGGACTTGCACTGGTATAACAACATAATTTTTATATTCAGTTAGTTACATCAGCACAAGTTGAATATAAACAAGGTCATAGTTAAAGCAGAGGACCAGGACTCAGGATTTCCTGGGTTTTGTTCCCAGATGTGCCAATGGTTTCCTTTGTGACGTTTGGCAAGTCACTTGAATTTACAGAATTGCTACCACAACTTCTTTTGAAGTAAGTTGATGTGCTCAGCACCCTGTTGAAAACAGGTGCACAGTTTGAGAGCTTTAGTTTATCTATCTGTAAAATGGCAATACGTACTTATCTGCTTTGTGTGGATTTTGTGAGGTTTAGTGTTTTGTAACCAGGGCCGGCTCCAGGCACCAGCTTAATAAGCAGGTGCTTGGGGCGGCCAAGGGAGAGGGGCGGCACCTGCAGCAATTTGGGGGCGGCAGGTCCCTCACTTCCTCTAGGAGCGAAGGACCTGCCGCTGAACTGCCGCCGTCGATCGTGGCTTTTCTCCCCCCCCCCCCCCCCAATTGCCGCCGCCGATCGCGATCGCGGCTTTTTTATTTTTTGCTTGGGGCGGCAGAAATGCTGGAGCCGGCCCTGTTTGTAACATATTTCATATCCTTAAATGAAAGGTGTTTTAGAAGTAAGGATTTCAGAGAGAAGTTTTGAATTTGAAACATTGTCTCTATAGTATAAGGTGGGAAAAGAATATTACTGTACAGATGTGCGGGACACTGAGTAAATGGTTTGTCTAGGGCTCCTCAAAAGACTTGTTTTGGAACTGGTATTTGAACTGTCCTGGGCTCCTAAACCAGCATCTAGTCCCCTATAGCATGCTCCTTTCTTTGTAATTCAGTTTGAAATAGTTTTGTCTTATTTCTCAATACAGATTTTGTTTCTCTGCAGTTTGTTGTAGCTGAAGAAAAATGATGGAAGAGAGTGGAATAGAGACGACCCCACCTGGCACTCCCCCACCAAGCACAGCAGGGGCAGTAGCTGCTGGTATCACCATTGCCGCCACCACCACACCTGTCTCATTAGGTATAAGAGGCTTCCAAGCAACTGGGTTTTGCTTGTTCATGTGTTTGAAGCATAGCAATTAGTCCAAGTGAAAGCAAAATTATAATCAGTATAATTGCAGTGCACTTCTCCAGACTAAACTGAAGAACTTAATTTCTTCCTTAATCCCAGTAGTGTGCTCCTTAAATGACTTGCTGCATCTTTTTAAGAATATGGCTTTTTAAACTTACACTTCTATAAGAAATTATGTGGGTGTATGTCTAGGGTTTTTATGGAGGAGTGGGTGGGGAAGATAGAGGCTTTGACTGCTGTGTAGGGAATAGTAATAGAGTTGACTAGCACTGTAGATAATCTGAAGATTTTGCAGGATCATGTGGGGAAATAACCTGCTCACTTGACCTGATTTTTCTAGTGTGTGCACCATTTTCTGTAGACCATATTTCCCCCCTTTTGGGTGCATATGCAGTCACAATTGTGCAACCTCAGGGTAACATCTGACCTTCCAGTTGAAACTTTTAGACTCTAGTGTACTTTCCAGTAGTTGTTTTGCCTCTGAATTACTAAAAGGCGTAAAAAGTAATGAGTTATTTTTGTAAAGATTTTGAATTCACACAGGGATCAGAACTGTTGAGAAAGATGGTATCATTTTTACATAAGCACTCTTCTCTTAATAGCAGTTGGTGCCGTGGGGTATGTAATAATGTTGACATGAGAACGTTAATTTAAGCATTTCCTAACTCTTCCCTTCACCCCCGCCACCTTATATCATTAAAGTATTCTTTTCTTGTTAATTTGCATTATTATGTATCTTAAACTCAAAGTACTCTCTACACTTTATACTGCCATCACACACAGCAATCATTTCACAGTACCGAAAGGTAACCGCTACTGAGGTGAAATGTGGAAGCTGTTAACGGTGTACAGCAGTACTACCCAAGAGTTTAGCACAGGAAGTATAGCAGAATACATCATACCTGTCTAGTTAAAACTTAGGTGAAATTAAGGTAGTTGGAATTTAATAACTCAAGGTGGAATCTAGCTAAAGTCTTACAGAATCTGTAATGAACATTTCTTCCAGTAGCACAATTCCTCCTAATACCATGTTGGAGTGTTAACTGAGTAGTGACTCAGAAAGAATATTGTCACCTATTGAACTGGCAACACGTGAGGCCACTTTTGGAAGTCTCCATTCAAATACTGATCCATCCTGCTGCTGTCTAGCTTGATATCTGATGGGGGTCACAGTGGAAGATGGGGCATCACTTACTTTTTTGGTGAAAGTTTACTTGTAACTGGAATCATTACTTCATACAACTAGGTTTTGAACTCAAACTTATTTTTTGGGGAAAAGCTTTAGGTATCTTATTCAGATATTTTGTAAAGAATTTTAAAGCTATGATAACTTTTTATTAAAGTGCCTTTTCTTTTTTCTGTTTTTTCCCCTCCTAGCTTTGTCCAGTTCTCTCACTGCTCCAGACATATCCCCTCTCCCATCTTTCCCTCCTCAATCATTCTCCACACCTCTACCACCCCTAGTGTCTTCACTTCCTCCTATGAGGTCGTCCGCGCCTTTGCCATTTGTGCCTTCTGCAACAGTTTCAACTATTGCACCCCCTTTAACTCCTGCCCCACCTCCTATTACCCCTCCAACCGCTTCAGCTTTTAGCGGTGCCATGTCCCATTTCTCAACACCTCCTCCCCTAAGCTGTATTCCTAGCCCTAACCTTTCTGCACCTCCCACGGCACCCCCCATTTCAGGATTTTCCATTGCTTCATCCTATGACATTACCAGAGGTCATGCTGGGCGAGCACCACAGACCCCACTGATGCCGTCGTTTTCTGCACCTTCAGTCACAGGTAGTATTTTGTTCTGTCTTTGTAAGATGAGGCAAGTTCTCATTAGTGACCTTATGTGTAACATAAGGGGTACTAGGGTGTCAGCATTTTTCTATTCAACCTGCCTCTCTGTAGAGAAATGCTGGCTGACTTCTGTATTATGTCAGGTGTATCTAACTCATTTTGAGTATAAAGAGGTGGGAGTGGCTCTTTTGGGGAGAAGTAGTCATGGTCTAGGATAGAAGTGTCATTTCAGGGAAACCCTAGGAACATACAAGTTTAGGGGAAAAAATGTAACTAAACCAAAAAGTTACTCAGGATAACCTGTGTAGCCAAACTCCACTGTACCTAATGTATGCGGGCTCTGTTCAGAACAGGGAAGAAACTCCACTTGCTGTACAATGATACTATAGTATAACATTTTGAATCCATAAATTATACTCTAATGCAGTAGTTTCTAAACTAGCTGGTGATATATAGAGAGCTGGCTGGTCATGTGGTGCTGGCTTCTGCTTTCTTATTTCCAGCCTCTCTATTGCTTTAAGACAGCTAAAAGAATATTGCTATCGCAAATTAATTGTGGTAAGATACATGAATGTTTGTGTGTGGCTTGTTTTTGCTTATCAGGTGTCTTGACAAATCCTGTTACTCAACAAACAACTTTCCCATCCTCTCTGATGCCTGGAACTGGAAGTGGCTCTGCAATAACTTTCCCAGAGGAGCATGAAGACCCCAGAGGAGTTGGCATACAGAATGAAGCATCTGCTGGAGGCCTCTGGGGATTTATAAAAGTAATTTTTTTTTCTTTTACCATTTGTGGGTTAAGTCTTTTAACAGACTAAAATGTATCATAGGTTCTTCAAGTATGTGTTAGTGTGGATCCCACTTAGGTGCACATGAACTTCATGCATGTGAGACCAGAAGGCATTAATGGCAGGAAGGCTGCATCCCTCCCTCAGTTCCCTCTTACTGCCTGTGGCAACAAGATAGAGCCTGGCATTTGTCAGACCACTAGTTCATAACTCAGGCTAAACTTCAAAACCTTGCAAAGTCTTCAGCACTACTACTTATCTTTTATGTTCAACTACCATGATGACTGTTCCGTGGGAAGATCTGGTACAGGCATTCTTGGCACTGAAGCTGCCCTCAACATCAGTTTTGAAGCTAGCACCAAAACCTCAGGTTTTGAAGTCAAGTACCAAGAAGGGGTGCTCCAAATATAGAGGTAGACACTCAAGAAGAAGCTCACTGTCATCCCACAAGGACAGACTGCCGCAAAGCATTCACAGAGAAGTCCAAGCCCTGTACAGACTCAAGAACTGAGAAAGGGCAGGCTACTATGCAGCAGATTCTGCTGGCCCTAGTCCTGGCTCCAATAATGCACCACTCATTGTTAACCCTGGCCTTGGGGGATGAGACTAGGGCAGAACTGGATCCATCATTGATGCTGAGACACCTACTGGCACTGGTACAGACTCTGGTACTGCGAGCACCGTAGATGTTGCTGCTGCCCCAGAAGAGGCTTACTGCTTCTCACCGTCACTGGGGCATATGTTTTCCCATCATTGAGTAGAGAACTCTCCCCTGTGGTCTGCGATCAATGCTATTGGGATCAATGCTATCTTATAGATCTCAAACACCACCGGCCCATCAAGACTGGCATTAGACTGACCAACATCCAACAAAGTCCGCTGTACTCCTGTGTTATCTAGCCAGTATCACAGTCATTGAGAAGGCATTTTCCATAACTGAGGGAAAGAAAGAGCTCTCTCTTGCTAGCAGTATGCATGGCCAGACCACTAATACCTGAATACCAGAGATAACCAGATTTAGGGTCAGAACAACATCAATACCCCAACTCATCGCTAAAGAATCTCTTCTCTTTGTTGCCAGATGAAACTGTATCCTTGATATCAGTACTGGCACCAGATGACTTCAGGGTGTTCCAGGCGCTCCTTTTGTCCATTTCCAGTCTCAGCAGACCTCAGATCAGAGAAATCTCACAAGCTGTTTGAAAACCGGTCAGCTTTTGGTCTTGTCAGGATCACCTTCCCCATTATTGAGGGACTGTTTGACCTCGCTAAAGCTCTGTGGCAGACTCCATCCATAGTAACGCCAATGGCAAAACAAGCTGAGAAGTACCAGGTGCCTCCCACAGGATTTGAGGACCTTTGCGCTATCCCCAAGCTGGGCTCCTTAATTATGTGACTTGTACAAGAGAGGTAGAAATTGAGCTAAAGCACATCTAAGGACGAAGACCCTAAAATACTCAATTTATTTGAGAGGAAGTCATGCTGTTAAGCTTCGCTCCAGCTGTGTGAGGCTAACAGCCAGCCCTTTCTGCTGAAGTATGATACTTACAAGAAAGGGTGTCACCCTGTTCAACATGAAATTCCTTTATGACAGCAGAGGATCTTCAGGACATAATTTAGAAAGGCCAGCACCAATGGTGGCCAAGACATCGTTGCAGGCAGCAATGGATGCTTTAGACATTGCTGATCGGTCTTTGGCCACTGTAGTGGTCATGCATAGAGCACTGTGGTTCTAGGCATTGGGCATCCTGAGAAAAGTGCATGCCATGATAGAGGACTTGTCCTTTCAGGGCTCAGGGCTGTTCAGCATGCAGACAGGCAGTGCTATGCACTGACTGAAGGACTTGAAAGCTACCCTGCGCTCTTTGGAGGCTTACACCTCTGCTCCATGCCACAAGATGGACTGTTCACAGTGCATGTCATCCTAGCATCCCAGACAGATGGAATATCATGACAAAAAAGTGTTTGGAGATAGAATATGGTGTGATAATCTCCTCTTCCTAAGCAATGCACCCCACTCCTATGATGCATTAGCAGATTTGACAAAGCTGTTGAGAGCCACATTAGACCTAGACTAGAGAGTACGATCTTTAGAGTTGCCTCACCTCTTTCCACTGCGTATTGTCTGTCATGACATCAAACAGTCCTTGGCTTACCCGTTCACTGACTCTGTAGCAGGGTCTTGTGAGGAAAAGTCTCAAAATAGAAGTGGCCTCATTTCTTTGTCTGGGAACCATAGAGTAGGTCCCAATAGAGCAGTGGTTCTCAAACTTTTGTACTGGTGACCCCTTTCAAATAGCAAGTCTCTGAGTGCGAACCCCCCCTTATAAATTAAAAACACTTTTTAATATATTTAACACCATTATAAATGCTGGCTGTAAAGCGGGGTTTGGGGTGGAAGCTGACAGCTCGTGACCCCCCCCATGTAATAACCTTGCAACCCCCTGAGGAGTCCCAACTCCCAGTTTGAGAACCCCTGCAATAGAGTTTGGGGGAAAAGGCTTCTACTCCCAGTGTTTTCTCATTCTGAAGAAGACAGGAGGTCTTTGTTCTATCCAAAACCTGAGGAGACTCAACAAATACATATTTCTCCTCAGATTCAGGATGATAACACTTGCCTCCATTGTTCTATCTCTTCGAGCATAGGACTGATTCGCAGGATGCATACTTCCACTTAGCCATCCATCCAGCCTGCAGAAAGATTAACAGTGGGGTCATTCATTATCCATACAGGGTTGTAGCCTTTGGACTCCTATTGCACTGAGAATATTCACAAAATGCTTGGTAGTACGAGTAGTACACTTAAAATGACAGGGAATTCATGTCTACCCATACCTGGATAACTTGCTGATCGGGGCAGTTCCCACCAGGATATTGCAACGGCCGTATAATATGTCCTTTCCCTATTGTCTCAAGTAGGTCTGTTGAACTACTAGAAATCCTGTCTTGCACCATTGCAGACTATAGACTTCATCAGAGCTTTAATAGACTCCAGATCAGAGGTGGGCAAACTACGGCCCACGGGACCGTTCTCCCCGGCTCCTGACCTCCTGGCCCGGGAGGCTAGCCCCCAGCTCCTCCCCCACTGTTCCCCCTCTCCCGCAGCCTCAGCTCACTGTGCCGCTGGCGCAATGCTCTGGCCAGCGGAGCAGCGAGTTCCTGGGGCAGCGCAGCTGCAGAGCCAGGGCCTAACCTGGTGCTCTGTGCTGCACGGCTGCCTGTCCTGGTGCAGCTGCGCCACCAGATACCGGTGCTCTAGGCAGCACGGTATGGGGGCAGGGAGTGGGGGAGGGAGGAGTTGGATAGAAGGCAGAGGAGTTCGGGAGATGGTCAGGGGCCGGGGGTGTGGATAGGGGTTGGGGCGGTCAGAGGGCGGGGAACGAGGGTTGAATGGGGGCAGGGGTTCCGGGGGCAGTCAGGGAGAAGGGGTGGTTGGATGGGGCAGAGGTCCGAGGGAGCGGAGGGGGCAGTCAGGAATGAGAGGAGGGGTTGGATGGGGCGGCTGGGGGCAGTCAGGTTTGGGAGTTCCGGGGGCGTTCAGGGGACAGAGAGAAGGGGTGGTTGGATGGGACAATTGTCCCGTGGGTGCAGTCAGAGGACAGGGAGAAGGGGTGGTTGGATGGGGCAGGGGTCCCGTGGGTGCAGTCAGGAAGGAGGGGGGGTTGGATGGGGCAGCGGGGGGCAGTTAGGAGCGGGGGGTGTGGGGGCGGTCAGGGAACAGAGAGCATGGGTGGTGGATGGGGCAGAAGTCCGGGGGGGGGCAGTCGGAACAGCGGGGGTTGGATGGGGCAAGAGTCCCGGGGGGCCGTCAAGGGCGAGAAGCAGGGGCGGGTCGGATAGGGGACGGGCCACGCCCGCCTGTTTGGGGAGGCACAGCCTCCCCTAACCGGCCATCCATACAATTTCTGAAACCCGATGCGGCCCTCAGGCCAAAAAGTTTGCCCGCTCCTGCTCCAGATCCACTTCCAGGCACCAGAGAGGACAGGTTCCAGTCACTTCAGTCAGAGATGTATGATCTACAGCCTAGTCTGATGATGATAGTGCATATGTGTCTGGGGCTACAATGTCACATGTTAATGTGAACATATGGCTCCACTTGCCACATTTCATTTACAGTCCTTGCAAGTGTGGCTGAGATCCATGCACAAACGGCTCACATTCCTGCCTCAAGTCCTATGGGAGCTTGCTTCATGGTTAGATCCAGTAAATGTAAGAAAAGGGATGCCCTTCTGTCCCCTCCCTGACTACTCTTATCACAGACTCATTGGGGGTGCCTACCTGGAATATCTGCAAATGCAAGACACATGGACTTGGGAACTACACATGAACATCCTGGAAATGAGGGCCATCAGATTGGCCTACACAGTGTTCCTACCTGTTCTGTGGAACTCCATGGTGCAAATCCTGATTGACAACACATCTGCAATGCACTCTAAACAAGCAAAGAGGTACGCTATCATCCCCTCTTTGCCATGAAGCCATCAGGTTCTGGATATGGTGTTGTCACCATGGTAATCCCAGTGGCTCAACACTTTCAATGGGTCAGCAACCTAGTAGACTACTTGAGTACTTGAGAAGACATATAGTGACCAACCTTGAGTGGCCACTGCAGAAATCCATCCTAGACACAATATTCAGTCAGTGGGGGGAATTCCTATCATAGACTCATTTGTCACAGAGGACAATACTAAATGTCTGCATTTCTGCTTCAGAAGAGGTGATGGTCTCAAGGACTCCTATACACTTTCCTATAATTTTTTTTCTGATTCCCAGGATAATATCCAAGATCAGACAAGGCTGGGATTATCGTAATAGTCCCATACTAGTCAAGACTTTTTCAGCTCTCGAATGTCCCATACACCTGCCACTGTGCCTGGACCTAACTTCAGAATGAAGGTCAGATAATGCACTCAAACCTGCAGTTGTTGCACCTGACTGCTTTGATGTTGGCTGGTTAAGCACTGACAGATTGCCCCCAA